AATTATCTACTTGATCGGGCTTGTAACCCTTACTTGAACATTTTTCCAAAACATCAGAAATTTTAACAATCTTACTATCTCCAGCCAATTCACGGATAAGAGCAAATATTTTATCATTAACACTACCAGCAGGTCTAAAACAGACAGGCACAATTCGTGATAAATTTTAAAATGCATTCCCACAGTTCAATAATTAAAACAATGTTCTTAAAGCTGCACAGTGTTCAGGAAAAGCATACCATTTAATTATTCGATGCTCATTTGCATATTAAAAGATAAAAATAATAAACTATTAAACTATATAAATAAAACAACTAACCAACAAGAAGAATGAAAATATGTCTCAATTTTCTGTAAAACGGAATAATATGTTTTTCCTGTAATACTACATTCAAAATAAATAAACAGTTTAAGTGCACATTTTGATTAAAAAAAAATGAAGTCTAAGGAGGTACTTTTTTTTACTATAAGTGTAAGTTTATGAAAATATTTTCTTACCTGAATCCTCTAGATTCGGCTACACAATTCAAAGAATCTTTGCTCATTTCCAGTAATCGAATTGCTTCTTTTACATCATCCTTCTCAACTGAATTTGCCAGCCTGAGCCTGGCTAAAGCAGTGGATAATCTAAGTATACCAAGCAAGTTACGTGCAGATGTAAAAGTCATATCTGGAGAATTTCGAGCTTGCTTACGAAGCTCTACATAAGCGGCTATACAAAAAAAAAACAAAATCAGTTACTTTGAAAATGTAAAATTTAAAACCATAAACCATAAATTAATTCCTTTAAAGCTATTTTAATTATTTAGTTTTTATTTCAATATTTTTAGTAGATAACATAATGAAAATTAAAAACAAAATTTGCAATTACTCACAAACAATAAAATCAGTTAGATCTTCTGGAATGACAGGATTCTTCATTTTACAAAGTGAAATATATTTGCGCATAACGTTCATGTCAAGCGCTTGTACGTTTGTTGGGGGTTGTTTGCAGTGCTGGTGAACATAAGTTATATGTTTGGCTAATCGTAGGTCATTATCACGATTAGGTCTATCTTGAATTAGCCACAATAAATCAAAACGCGACAAGAGAGCAGCTGGAAGTTGAATATTTTGTTCAATAGTGCGTTTGGGATTGTAACGTCCAAATGCTGGATTGGCGGCAGCTAATATTGATACGCGAGCATTTAACGTTGTCATGATACCAGCCTATAAATGATTTGCAATAACTAAGTCATTTATACATAAATACATACATATAAGTCCTGAAAGCATTTAGTGACTTTTTATTTACTAAGTAAATGATTTAAATGAACTTCGTTAAATACTAGTCCTAGAGACTTTGGGAAGGATTCTAATTTACTTTTGTCTAGGTCCTAGGTATTTCTATATTTAAATTTAAAACTTCTTTGTTTTTAGTGAAAATAAAATATTTATAGTAGTAGAGCAACAATATCAAGAGGATAATTGAAAAATATTTAGCATAAACTATTTTGAGTACTATAAGGAGCACTCTCATCAAGAAAGAAAAATATAGAGTACTAAAGACAACATTTCGGACTTTTTATATTAAATACCTTGGCAATACTAATTGTCTGTTGTTCCATGACTTCATGAATGGCAGTTCGATCAAAATCAGCCATTTTATCAAATTCATCAATACAACATACACCCTTATCTGCTAACACAAGGGCTCCACCTTCCAACATCATTTCGCCAGTCAAAGGATCTCTCATGACCGCTGCAGTTAAACCCACTCCTGAAGAACCTCTTCCAGTAGTATACTGACCTAATATAATTTTTACGGTTTTAATATAATTTGTAATTACAAATACATATTTCAACATTACTTCTGGGTGCAAGACGACTGATGAACCCTAACAACTGCGACTTGGCTACACCAGGATCGCCCATAAGGCAAATATTAATATTTCCGCGAATTTTCATACCGTCTGGTTTTCGATCAACCCCTCCTACGAGAAGTAACAGTAAAGCTTTTTTAACATCTAAATGACCATAGATTTCAGGCGCTATGGACATGGCCAACTTAGTATAAAAATCTTCTTCAGTTAAAGCGGCAAGTTCGTCTGGTGTTAAAGTGGAAGAAGCGGTTTCTTCTTCTGCGGTTTTGTTTACAGAAACTATTCTCTTTAAGAAAATTATTATTTTAACATGTAAACTACTACGTTTTAAGAAAAATGCTCACATGTGCTTCAAGATACGTATCAGAAAGGAGCCCACCAACAATTTGCTTGTAACCACTTCGAATAAGTGGTAAAAACACGCCTGTTATGGCAACATGGTCTCCTGGTAAAGTTTGACGAGTGTTCTCTCCACGACAAAATATTGTTAATGAACGTGGTACATGGCCGACTGGCACTTGGTCACTCTGCCAAAAAAAATAATTTAATTCTTAATTATGTAGCAGACTGCAACCTACTCTTAAATTTATTTATATAATTCATGATGTTTCCTTTTTATAATTAAAAAAATACTAAACAAAACCGTACAGGTTGCTCATATCATTTTTATATAGGTACTTATGTGCACTTTTTATTACAAAAACAAAATACTAAAATTCTAATAAATTGCGATAACACTTCGGGTGTCAAAACACATTTCGGTTTTTTTAAACGTTTTTATATGAATTTTTGAATTTTATGATTCTCGAAATCTCCATTTAATTTTCTTGTACTTTAATTCCCTGCCAACCCCGAATTTGCCTATCCACGGTTAGAATAAAACAGAAAAAAGGTACAATAAAAGTACAAGAAACTAAAAAGGAAATTAAAAAATAGGAAATAGCGGTAGAGCTTTCGTAAATTGTAACTTCCTACCTAATTATGCATGCATATATACCTAACATGTAAAAATTTTTTAAAGAATTAGTCTGCTTCTTATTATTAACAATAGCCTGTAACTGTTACCTGTTTACATCTCTTTAATAGCAAATTATCCACACAGTTATGTAAATATTATTTTGGATATTTCCCTTTAATAAACACATTAGCAAAGTAATGATAAACATCTACAACTCATCAACACCACAGGATGTTGGATAATTACAATTTTGCAATGTGCTGTTGTCAATGTTGCTTATATTTATCAACGAAAAGGGTTCTCTTTAATAGACGAAACATTACCCTTTGTTATTTCTTTTTTTTTTTAATTTCTATGGAAAATTTAATAACATGAACACAAAAAGAAATTTTTTCAAGGATTATACTTAAAATTTAACAAGTTTATTTTAACTTACGTGTTCCTGAATTCTTATTTCTTGAAATTTAATGAATTTAGATCCTCTTGTTTGCAAATATAATCTTCCACCAGATTTGTTTACTTGGCAGTCTTCACTTGGACATAAGTGAACTGGCATAAAACTTAAAGAAGACACTGGTTGATAAGTTTCAGACCCACATTGGTCACAAGTGTATGTAGCGACACACATCAATGGTTTAACTTCAGTACTTCTTGTAACAATTCCTTTAACTGTCACTAACTTTCCAATATGTTCACCTTTTATCTCTCGTATTGGCACAGGTTTAGTTTCAGACATATCTTTGAAATAGATTTCACTAAGAAAAAAAAAAGATGTTTTCTTTCAGTTACTTACTATTTAGAAACTTACTATCGTCTTATAAGTTCTGGAGGATATTTATTTCTGGCATTCCTTTGCTCATTAGGCAGTCTCATTCGATTTTCCATCATAAGTCTATGTTCTATATAAACATCGAGAACATCTTTTGCTGCAACTTCTCTGGTTTTAAATGTTGGTAGTATATCATGCACAATGTCAGAAAATAAATTTGTATAACGTCTAGTGTTGTTTATTATAGCTTCAGCTAACTCTTTGTTATATTCAGATACATCATCCAAATCTATGTACAAAGCAACTTGCTCTCTGTGAGCTAATTTTGTTAATTGTTCTGCATATTTAAAATATTTGTTGCCAGAAGCTTCCTCAATACAAAATTCGGTTAAAAACGTTTTGGCTGTCTCTGCAAGTACAAGCAATGAAATGCACATACAAACAAAAATAGTAATAGGCAAATACCTCTGTCTGCATCGTAATTCCTGCGAGCCATTTTAGCATCAACGCAAAAAATCTACAAACGTTACTTATTTTGTATATTTTAAATTACTATTTTATTAATATGGGAGAATTATTAAGTCGAATATAAAAAAAGATTAAATGAATTCAGTTAAAAAATAAGCCGACAAAAAAATCAAACACTTCGAAACTTAACCTCTTCAAGTAAATGCGCGGGAGATTTGATAATAGATAATTTAATGAGAAACATTTAATTTGTGAATGTGGCTCATTAACCGTATACGTAAACGTTGAATATTTATCTATGGATAATATCCTGAGGTGTATATTTAACAATGAAATGCATTAATTCAATTCAAGAAGACCAAAGATAGCAGCCACATAAGGAACTTTAATGCATGGCACGAGCATCAGCAATTTGTGATTTGTGTTTTTGTGTGTGCCAGACTACTAGGTGGTTTGCTGCGCAGTAAGGCAGTGCGCGTAGACAAGGAGTTGCTTACATTTTGTAATTGATATCTATTGTATTTGACTTATACAGACTATAGATAAGGAGTCAATATGTATAAAATTTGTTCCAAAAATTTAATAAAATAATAGAGCTGCGATCACTGTAAATTCAAAGTTACCAAATTGACTTGAAAAATATTGATTTTTTTAATCTGTTTTCGCATGTTAATAATGCACGTTCTATTTTTCATTTTATTGTAAAGTAAATTAAGGGATTTTAAATGTGTCAAATTAATTTATAGCATAGAAAGCGTTTTCTATCCTATACTAGTGAAAATTTAATAAAACAGTAAAGAGCACTGCGATCCATATGAATTCAAGGTCAACATCTTCACACTAAAAATCTATTAAACCTTTACATGGCTAAAATAACAATAAAATGAATAGTAAAATATAGTTATTGCAGAATAAATCAATATTTTCCAAGTCAAATTGGTGACCTTGAATTCATAGCGGACTATTATTTTATGAAGTTTTCTGTATAACTTTTATTGTTCGCTGGGAGATGCTTGATGTCGAACTCGTATTGCTGTAGTCACCGTAGCCAAGGTGCAATCTGTCCTTTCTAGGTCTTGAATAGTCGAAGGGGATTTCCAGTTCCCTATCGGGCGCGTCTCCAGGTGGCGGTTAGGAGAATGCTCCCCAGATATGGCGGACACCAGTTTTTTTTTGAGCATGGAACAAAACTGGATGTTGGTGTCAGCTTGGGGATAGGCGACCAACCTAGGCAGGCGAGGCTCATCAGCCGTAGAGAAGGCAACTCGCCTAGGGCAAGATCTCGAAAAATTCCCAAAAAAATATACATGATGAGATCCCCAAGATCACAATTCACATCAGGATGTACAATAACCCCTGCAGAGATCGACCAAGTATTGGAGTAAAACCCTGAAGGTCGAAAAGGGTGAGCTTTGGTCGGTCGTAGGACTGAGAGATGACCAGGAGCAGGTTCCTGTTACAGATGTTAGGAGTTTGGGCGGGCGTGTGTACTGCTAAAGAACCAAAAAAGAGAAAGTACCTGAATCGTGGAGGGTTAGATCACGAGGCGCATGACTGTTCTTCAACGAGGAAATGCTGTAACTGTTGCTCTGGCGCTGCCAGACCTATAGGCATGTGGTGAATAAAATCAAGGGGTCCCGTGAGAAAGTACAAGGAAGTGAAGTTAGCCATTCCGGTAAGAATACTGCAATTAATCGTCAACAAGAGGTAAGAGGCAATGGAGATATTGGAACAAGTTGCCACAGAAAGGGATTGTGATGTGCTTTTAGTCTCTGAGTCAACCAAAAGATTCTTATAGAAGAGAGGTTAGACATACGATGAAAACATGGATGTGACGATTTTCCCAATTACGGAACCTCCCAATTACAACTCGGAGCCACCACGGGGCGGCGGAGGATCGCTTTTGGCGTGACGTAGTCAGCTAACAATTGAGAGTCGTTGTCTTCCACTTTTCACCCAACAGTTCGCTTGAAGACTTTTTAAGCTCTTCTTAAGCAGGCTGGAAAGGACGATTCAATCCACGAAGGGAGCGGTGGTGGTGGATCGGAACTTCAGTAGGCACTGGGTTCTATAGGGTTCACCCTCCACCGACATAAAAGGAGCTTTGATAGAAGACCTCATTCTTGATGTGGACGGCATATTTCTTCATACAGGGGAATCCGACCTACCTTTTGCTGGGACCCGAGGTTCTTTATTGCGGACATCAGCTGGACAGTGAGGCTCTGGACTAATTGGCTTACGGAATGGCAAGTCTTGGACATTGACACAGCAACCACCACCAAAATCTGCGTGACAATCACTGGTGACGTGAAGCACCGTAAGGAGTCAACAGTAAGGAAAGACAGGACGGTATATAGAACGACGCATAAGCTCCTGAAACAGTTTAGACTAGCGCTTCAGAAACAGGTTTGAGTAGAGAGTAGTCAGGGCGATCTCACGGTTCTACCCCGCATTATGAAAGAAGCATGTCGCCAGACGTTCCCTTCCCCATCAAATAGGCGGTGGGAAGGAAAGTCTAAATTTTGGTGGAATGCTGACATCGCAGCTCAAACAGCGAAATGTAGCTCTCTGTGAAGAAGAGTCCAGCGTCCTAGGAGCGGAGACACAGAAGAAAATCCTGAAGTGGACGATTAGACAAGCTAAATGGAGCAATTGGAAAGTATTCCTAGACTGTCTGGAGCTGAATCCTTGGGGAGACGCTTATCAGTGGGCTGTTAAGAATCTGCAAACCACACATAGGGTAGTCATGAATACGGAACAACAAATACAGGAAGCCAAGCGTCTCTTTCCGGAGCACACACGTAAGTGATGGCGGAAGGAACTCTAAAATGAGGCGGACACACCAATACACGTTGGCGAGGTGAAGTCGACGCTAACAAAGTTCAAAAAGGGAAAGGCACCCGGGTCCCGACTGGATAACGGTGGAAATCCTGGAGATCATAGTAGACGAAATTCCTGATGTAGTATGTAATACCTTCCAGCACTGCTTTAGTTTAGGAATAATGCCGTCTACCTGGAAAATCGCCACGCTGATTCTTATTCCCAAAACTGGGTAAACAGAGAGAAGCCCATTTGTCGTCTAGATACGATAATCAGGTTATACGAGAGGTTTATTAACACGAGACTTACGGACTACTTGGAACAAAAAGGAATGCTATCAGACCACCAGTTTAGATTCAAGACCGAAATCATTAAGAGTCTGAAAAACAGAAATGTCCCCACCAATCTCACTAGAGTAGTTGAAAGCTTCCTCGAAGACCGAAAGCATTTACGTAGCCTACTCTCAACTAACTACCAATATCGGGGTGGCATAGAGGTAGATTTTGGAGCTGACCCTGTGGAATATAGTGTATCATGATTTGCTGCGGCTGAGTGTCCCTAAACTAGGTTCCTCTCCTACGCGGATGATGTGGTTGCCCTGGTGTCAGAGAAGAAGGCCAAGTCACTAAAACGCAACATCATCAGAACCCTCCGTGAGGTAGAAGAGTGGATGAGTGGCCATGGGCTGAAGCTGGCTAGTGAGAAGACAGAAGTGCTGTTTCTGGTTGGTGGGCGGAAACTAGGTAGAGTCTCTCTTAAGTATTAACCGTGTAGATACCTTTAAATACTTGGGAATATGGCTATCGAGAGAATTAAATATGGGAAGACACTGCGCTGCCACTGTCATGCGCGCGATGGTTCAGTTCCAAGCTCTGGGGAGGCTGATGCCCAAGAAAGGAGGTCCTTGTATTGAGAAGAGGAAAATCCTTGCGCAGATCGTCTACTCCACGCTGCTTTACGGAGCCCCAATGTGGTTACCTTAAGTAGCTAAGCGTAAATATTAAAAAATATGCTTACCAGATGCCAAAGGCATATGGCAGTAGCTATGTTTGATGCTTACAGAACGGTGTCCACGGAGGCGGTACTGTTGGTAGCTAGACTGCTCCAATAGACCTCGTGTGTACCCGGACAGAGGGTTATCAAGGAGCATAAAGCATTTTCCTCTCCCATTGGTCCATGCGTTTGCCTCTCTCGCTGCTCTAAACTGCTTCAGATAGATGGNACACAACTAACTTAGATTTTAAATACAAAATTATCAGTCAGTGCTTTAAACTCTTATATAAAAGTAATCTTTGTTCGAGTTTGATTTACTTGCCAAACGTTTAGGGCTTCGTAATCTTCAATACAATTATCTACTTGATCGGGCTTGTAACCCTTACTTGAACATTTTTCCAAAACATCAGAAATTTTAACAATCTTACTATCTCCAGCCAATTCACGGATAAGAGCAAATATTTTATCATTAACACTACCAGCAGGTCTAAAACAGACAGGCACAATTCGTGATAAATTTTAAAATGCATTCCCACAGTTCAATAATTAAAACAATGTTCTTAAAGCTGCACAGTGTTCAGGAAAAGCATACCATTTAATTATTCGATGCTCATTTGCATATTAAAAGATAAAAATAATAAACTATTAAACTATATAAATAAAACAACTAACCAACAAGAAGAATGAAAATATGTCTCAATTTTCTGTAAAACGGAATAATATGTTTTTCCTGTAATACTACATTCAAAATAAATAAACACTTTAAGTGCACATTTCGATTAAAAAAAAATGAAGTCTAAGTAGGTACTTTTTTTTACTACAAGTGTAAGTTTATGAAAATATTTTCTTACCTGAATCCTCTAGATTCGGCTACACAATTCAAAGAATCTTTGCTCATTTCCAGTAATCGAATTGCTTCTTTTACATCATCCTTCTCAACTGAATTTGCCAGCCTGAGCCTGGCTAAAGCAGTGGATAATCTAAGTATACCAAGCAAGTTACGTGCAGATGTAAAAGTCATATCTGGAGAATTTCGAGCTTGCTTACGAAGCTCTACATAAGCGGCTATACAAAAAAAAAACAAAATCAGTTACTTTGAAAATGTAAAATTTAAAACCATAAACCATAAATTAATTCCTTTAAAGCTATTTTAATTATTTAGTTTTTATTTCAATATTTTTAGTAGATAACATAATGAAAATTAAAAACAAAATTTGCAATTACTCACAAACAATAAAATCAGTTAGATCTTCTGGAATGACAGGATTCTTCATTTTACAAAGTGAAATATATTTGCGCATAACGTTCATGTCAAGCGCTTGTACGTTTGTTGGGGGTTGTTTGCAGTGCTGGTGAACATAAGTTATATGTTTGGCTAATCGTAGGTCATTATCACGATTAGGTCTATCTTGAATTAGCCACAATAAATCAAAACGCGACAAGAGAGCAGCTGGAAGTTGAATATTTTGTTCAATAGTGCGTTTGGGATTGTAACGTCCAAATGCTGGATTGGCGGCAGCTAATATTGATACGCGAGCATTTAACGTTGTCATGATACCAGCCTATAAATGATTTGCAATAACTAAGTCATTTATACATAAATACATACATATAAGTCCTGAAAGCATTTAGTGACTTTTTATTTACTAAGTAAATGATTTAAATGAACTTCGTTAAATACTAGTCCTAGAGACTTTGGGAAGGATTCTAATTTACTTTTGTCTAGGTCCTAGGTATTTCTATATTTAAATTTAAAACTTCTTTGTTTTTAGTGAAAATAAAATATTTATAGTAGTAGAGCAACAATATCAAGAGGATAATTGAAAAATATTTAGCATAAACTATTTTGAGTACTATAAGGAGCACTCTCATCAAGAAAGAAAAATATAGAGTACTAAAGACAACATTTCGGACTTTTTATATTAAATACCTTGGCAATACTAATTGTCTGTTGTTCCATGACTTCATGAATGGCAGTTCGATCAAAATCAGCCATTTTATCAAATTCATCAATACAACATACACCCTTATCTGCTAACACAAGGGCTCCACCTTCCAACATCATTTCGCCAGTCAAAGGATCTCTCATGACCGCTGCAGTTAAACCCACTCCTGAAGAACCTCTTCCAGTAGTATACTGACCTAATATAATTTTTACGGTTTTAATATAATTTGTAATTACAAATACATATTTCAACATTACTTCTGGGTGCAAGACGACTGATGAACCCTAACAACTGCGACTTGGCTACACCAGGATCGCCCATAAGGCAAATATTAATATTTCCGCGAATTTTCATACCGTCTGGTTTTCGATCAACCCCTCCTACGAGAAGTAACAGTAAAGCTTTTTTAACATCTAAATGACCATAGATTTCAGGCGCTATGGACATGGCCAACTTAGTATAAAAATCTTCTTCAGTTAAAGCGGCAAGTTCGTCTGGTGTTAAAGTGGAAGAAGCGGTTTCTTCTTCTGCGGTTTTGTTTACAGAAACTATTCTCTTTAAGAAAATTATTATTTTAACATGTAAACTACTACGTTTTAAGAAAAATGCTCACATGTGCTTCAAGATACGTATCAGAAAGGAGCCCACCAACAATTTGCTTGTAACCACTTCGAATAAGTGGTAAAAACACGCCTGTTATGGCAACATGGTCTCCTGGTAAAGTTTGACGAGTGTTCTCTCCACGACAAAATATTGTTAATGAACGTGGTACATGGCCGACTGGCACTTGGTCACTCTGCCAAAAAAAATAATTTAATTCTTAATTATGTAGCAGACTGCAACCTACTCTTAAATTTATTTATATAATTCATGATGTTTCCTTTTTATAATTAAAAAAATACTAAACAAAACCGTACAGGTTGCTCATATCATTTTTATATAGGTACTTATGTGCACTTTTTATTACAAAA